GGTCAGCCTTCTGATGATTCAACTCCATTTAACTCAACAAGCATTTAATAAGTCACTACCACATACAAAATACTGTGCTAGGTATTGGGAAGAGAAAGAGAAAACAGAAAATTGGGCTGGATGACAGATGGATAATCAGCCTCCTGGTCCATTGTTCAAGACTTTCCAATTTTGTAGGACCTGTTAGAGCCCAGTGGGCATACTTGGGCTTTGAGAACTGATAGTTATCTGGATGTTGTGATGAGGCATCTGACTAGGGCTTTAGTGGAGGAAAGATTTATATTTATTCTGAATACAAACACCATGTCTAATCCTAACTACCCATCATCCATAAAGCACTTTAAGGTTTGCTGGGTGAGACAGGTAACTATTATAGCCTCCATTTTCTAGTTGGGAAAAATGAGGCTCAGAGAAGTTAAATGATTTGCTCAAGGTCATACTGGTAAGTAGAACCACTAGGATTTGAACCCACTCCTTCTGACTTGAAGACCAGTGTTCTTTTCACCTTCTAGGCTAGTTAACATGAAGTGCTTGTCAATGGAAGACAAAAGCTGAGTGTCTCTTATCCTTTGCTCTCACTATAGGACTGGCCCATTTCTTTGATGATATCTTTTAGGTTATGCCACTTTCTGCACACAATTTTTCATTGTTAGTCCACTGTGTCCTATTTATACCTAACATGTATCTTCTCTGTTGCCTTTTCAAATTTCAGTTCTTAAGAGGCTGTTGTATTTCACACATGATTCATCATAGATGCCACACCAATTTTGAGAAATAATATCTTAAGTCATAAAGAGTTTGGTAAGAAGTACCAGAAATTAGTATCTCTTTTAGTTACAATTTTTCTGAGAGCATAGGGAGATCATGGCAACTGGTCCCATCACTTCCTGGCAAAAAGAGGGAGAAGAAATGAAAAGAGTGTCAAATTTTTTATTCTTGGCATTGCAGATGGCAACTACAGCCATGAAATTAGATGCTTGCTCCTTGGAAGGAAATCTATGGCAAATTTGGACAGCATACTAAAAAAGTAGAGACAGCACCTTGCTGACAAAGGTCTGTATAGTCAAAGCTATGGCTTTCCCAATAGCAATGTATGGCTGTGAGAGTTAGACTATAAGGAAAGCTGAGTGCTACAGAACTGATGCTTTTGAATTATGGTGCTGGAGAAGATTTTTGAGAGTCTGCTAGATATCAAAGAGATTATATCAGTCAATAGCTAAAAAAAAATTAATCCAGACTATTCACTGGAAGGTCAGATTTTGAAGATGAAGCTTCAATACATTGGCCACATAATGAGAAGACAGGAAGTGTTGGAAAATACTCTAATGTTGGGAAAGATTGAAGAAAATTGAACATCGAAGACTGAAGAAAAGAGTATGGCAGACAATGAGATGGATAGATAGTGTCATGGAAACAATGAACATGAAGTTGGGCAGACTTTGAGAGATAGTGGAAGACAGAAGGACCTGACATGTTATTGTCCACGGAGGTCACAAAGAGTTGGATGTGACTGAGGAATGAGGGGGAAAACTATGGTCAGTCAACAAAACCGATTGAGCACAGACCCTATGTGTGATAGAATATACATGTTGTACCATTGTGAATTACACACTTCCTAGAGTCATGAAGACGTTAGTTTGAATCTAACCTCAGATATGTTCTAGCTATGTGACCCTGGTTAAGTCACTTATCTTCTAAGTGCCTCATTTTCCTCATTTACTTTTTAGGGTTGTTGTGAGGATCAAAAAAAGATGTTTGTAACATGCTTAATAGCATAATGCCTGGCACATAGTAGGCCTTTTCCTCCCTGCCTCCCTCCTGCCCTTCCTTCCTTTCTATTCTTCAGTTATTTCTTACTCTTACCATGTGACTAGCACTTCTCTTTGCCATACACTTTTCTGATGATATTCTCTACTCCACTTCTTAAGTTCTTTTTTTTAATGTGTTGTAGTCTGCTTACTTTCCAATTTCTCCACTGCCCTCTGAGAGATACTCATTTTTGATTCTTCAGAGACTGTGAGTGTTCCATGACTCACAGTCACACAGCAACGTTGTTAGAATAATAGCATTAAAAAGATGGGCTTTTGTCACCTGGAGAAGCTTGGAATCATTAAAAGAGCTCCACAAATTCCCAAAGACAATCTAGCCAGCCCTCTTTTCCTGTTTCATTCTAGGCCTAACTTATCCATTTATAAATATTTGTATCCATCCAGACAGACAGACACACACACACACACACTTACTTATAAACAAGTGCATGAACTCACTCATGAACAACCTATATCTATATCTTTTTCTCTCTCTGTCTTCATGATGGAAAGGTCTATGGGTTGTCCATCTAGCTGCATGTGATAATCTGTACAGCAGACATTCTCCATCCATGTGGAGCTTCCTGGAGGTTTCCAAACTCTTTGGAGTGGTTACAAATCTTTTCAAGAATCTCTCTACCTATCCTCCTAGGATTGTCGTGAGGATCAAATGAGATAATACTGGTAAAGTGCTTTGGACAGTGCCTTGTACAAAGTAGGTGCTTAATAAATGCTCATGTTCTTCCTTCTCTGCAATATTCTAGGGCCTGATTCAGATCATACAATGTCATGTGCAAACAGGAGCATCTGGGGGACCTCCCCATCCAGTCTTATTCAATAGGCACTAGATTTCCTTAGTGATCACAGAAAATATCTTTGGCAACCATACATCTCCCTGTTTTATGATTTTTAAAAATATTAATGAATGGTGGATTGCTTAACAAGGCCACTTCTATTTTTCCTATTTCATGTAATTTTGAATGATTTTAATGCATGCATGGAGACATTTTGTTGGAAGAAAGCCTTTAAGGCTATATTTTGCTTCACTGAATCTAATTAATTTTTAAAAATAATCAACAAAAATAAGAGTGAGATCTTGTATTCTCTACATCTTTCAGTCACTTGTTGGTAGTAAAGATATTGTCCATTGTAGAATATCACTTAGAAGAGCTTGACTGTTTCCTACTGATACTTTTACTAAGGAAGCTCTTGATCATTGTTTATAAGATTATCACAAAAAGTATATGCAGTTGGGAAAGTAGGGAAAGTAGGCATATAGATTGGTAATATTCTTTCAGTCTTTTTTTTCAATATTGATACAATCCAAGATTTTTTTCCATGGATTTGATGTCTCTTCTTTCATATGCCCTTCAGAGCAGAAATGTTGTTCTATTTAATTTTGTGTCTTTTATAATGTCCATTAAGGTTTAGCATAGCTTAGTGGAAAGTGCCCTGGACTCTGTGAGCCCGTCTCTCAAAGCCCTCAAAATCTTGTCATCTCCAATGTTCAACTCCTCTATGTACAACTGATCTAATCCAGCTGATTTCCCCTCATTGACCTCTTTAATTCCATTTCTATGTCTTCTATAGACATATGTGGGACTATATCATTAGAGTTCAAGTGGGATGGCCCCACTGACCTTGGTGGTGAAAAAGAAATTTGTCATAAACATCTTCATACATCTTTTAAAAAACCTTTTCTCTGTTTGTTGTCCTTTTATTCACACACATTACCTCTTAAGCAGTGAAAAGAATCATATCTCTTAAAGCAAGAGGGACCTTGTGCCATCTGGTCCAACCCCCAACTTAACAGAAGTAACAATAATGTTTCCATCTTTTGACTTGTCTACACTGTCCTTGGTCTTGATAAGTTTTTTTAAAAAGTTGAAATGACAGAGAATATATGAAGGAAAAGAAATCTAAGAACCAAAGACTGTTATAGCTCGGTGGAGAACTGAGGTCCTAAATGTGAAGCGACTTGCCCAAAGTTATATAGGCATGTACTCAATCTTGATCCTTGGATCAGCAGGCACTATATAGAATTTTTAAATTCCTCAGAGCCTAGTATAGTGCCAGGTACACACTATGTGTGCAACAACTGTTACAAATGAACATTTTGGTGTTGTTCAGTCGTTTCAGTTGTACCGGGCTCTCCATGACCCCATTTGGGTTTTTTTCAGCAAAGGTACTGGAGTGGTTTGACATTTTCTTCTCTAGCTCATTTTACAGATGAGGAAACTGAGGCAAACATGGTTAAGTGACCTGCCCAAGGTCACACCACTGATAAGTGTCTGAGGCCAGATTTGAACTCAGGACTTCCTGACTTCAGGCCTAGTGCTCTGTTTACTGCACCACCTAGCTGCCCAACAAATGAACATATGAACTTACATAAACAAAATCAAGTTCCTATCATAGTTCAAGTCTCATTATAATCAAATCTCATTACAGCTACCAAGGAATTCAGTTCGACATTGGTCTCTCGTGGACCTTATCCAAAGACTTTAATCACCTGGAAATCCTGGGAAGCCTATGCTGTGATCCATCTTCACCTGCTACATGATGACATCATAAAAAGGGTGGTAATCAGTGATAGTAATATAATGCTTTATGGACTCAAAATTCTATTGTCTTCATTTTCTTAATCCTCCTAATAACCTCAAGAAACAGGTAATATAGATATTAGCGATATTTTATGGATAAGGAAACCAGGGCCCAGAGAAATAAAATAATTTGCCTAGATCACACAGCTTGTTAAAGGGACCAAGACTCAAATCCAGGTCTTTTAACTCTAAAGCTACTGCTATTTCCAGCACACCATACATATACCTCTGCTAATGTATAGAGTATACTAATGTAATAATGTAGAGTATAAATTAATTACAGTAGGGGATGAGGGGATGCAGAGAAAAGAAGAAGGTAGAGATGATGAGGGATAACCAGAGAAGGTTTGTGGAAATAGGCAAGTTTTGAGCCAGGTTGCAAAAAGTGGAACCCTCTTTTTTACGATTTTATTTATTTTATATTTATTTTATTTATATAATAATAATGATATTAATTGCCAGAAAGGAAGACCATTCTAGAATGGTTTAGGGCAGGAAGGTAGGGGTTGAAGACAAAAGAGCAGAAAACAGCCATGAACCATGACTAACATTTGCTGATTTGCTAGGAGCTCAAGTAATGGTATCAGCTCACCTCAACACTTGTCAGCCACTGGCGGATGGACATGAACGTCTGCTTGGCTGTGATGTCGTACATCACGATGACACCATCTGCCTTGCGGAAGAACTGCTGGGTGATGCAGCGATACCTGTCAATAATGGATCCCCCCAGCTCTGTCAGAAATGTAACACTCCACCCCCAATCCCCCAAAGAAGTGGAAGAACCCAGATCTTCAGCTAGATTCTAGGAGGACTACTCAACATGGAGTAGGAAGTAAAGGAGAACATGGAAGAGGGTTAAGTTGAGACCAGAAAAGTAGGATGTCAGTGTGGAAGCAAAGGGCATTTCCTCACCTCTCCTGCCCAGCTGTGTCCCACAACTGCAAGGCCACCTGGGATTTGTCCACTTTCAATGTCTTTACTTGGTAATCTAGCCCTGCAAAGTGAAAACAAGGCCTGTTAGGGTTGGCCTGGGCCTGTTCATAGGACATGGGTTGCATCTTACATTGTAGAATCACAGAAATTTAGAGCTAAAAAGAACTTTAGAAATTACCTACTACTCCCATCTTACAGATGAGGAAGCTGAGGCTGAAAGAGATGAAGCGGCTGGGGTTATTTTCTGAAGTAGCATGCCCAATCTGTATTTACTCCCTCCTTCATGGAAGGAAGAAACTTAGAGAACACTAACTTCCTTCTTAAAGGCTTTTTAGGAATCTTCTCTTGAAATGCAAGCATCCCTGGAAGAGGCCATACCATAAACTCTACTAACCAATACATGGGAGAGTATGAGGGAATTAGAAGGAATCAAAGTCAAATTCCATATTTTTGCCTACAGATAGGTTGGTTACCCACCCACAATGCTCTTCCCACCCCTGGCCATCCATGCCATGTCATCATTATAGGGGCTGTCTAGAGAGCATATGTCTTGGGATATGCCTTAGTAAGGGTCAACACCAGAATCTTTCAGAGAAAAGGAATTTTCTCCTAGTGGCTTAGCCCTCTTAATTATATTAACCAATGATAATTGGTTCCAGAAAAACATGAAGAGATATTAAATGACATTATAGGAGTGAACTCCTTCCATGAGAATAAGGTTACTAAAGTTAGCACTGGATGACAGACCAAACTTGGAATATGGTATGTTAAGGGGTGGTTAACTGTGTTGGTCAGGAGAACCCTTAGCACGCAAACATCTTTAGAGTAGAAACAATGTTCTGTCCAACTTGGCTAACTTCACAGTGTCTCACAGAGTTCACTGCCACCCTGGGGAAAGTGCCCTGGGCTTTGGGTTCCTGTTGACTTTGCCACTTATTGTATGGTTCTGGGGCAGTTATTTAAATGCTCTGAGTATCAATTTCCTTGTCTTTAAAGTGGAGACTATAATACTTGTGCCACCTATTTCATAGGGTTGTTGCACGGACCCAGCAAGATGACAAATAGATGGAAAGTGCTTTGCAAACTTATAAATAATAACATTTATAATAAAAATAGCATTTCTATAGCGCTTTCAGATTTGCAAAGTACTTTTTAAATTTTATCCCATGTTACCCTTATAACAACCCTAAGAGGCAGGTGCCATTATTTTCTCCATTTTACAGGTGAGGAAACTGAGGCAGATAGGTTAAATGGGGCCACATAGCTAGTAAGTGTTTGAGACTGGATTTGAATTTCTTCTCCTGAGTCCAGGTCCAGGGCTCTGTCTATTGTGTCACGTAGCTGCACTACATGAATACAAGCCATTGTTACAGCACATGTTTAATGAATGTTTCCAATCAATGAATAAATGTGTTCTTTGATCAATAAATTCCTCTCCCCTAAGTCTTTCTCATGTGACTCCTCAGGGTCATATGGAAATGTTGAAAGATTGAAACTTTGTTTTAAAGGAACCAGATCTAAAAGTCGGCCAGATCTATCTCCTGAATCTTCCCACTCTCACAGAATTACATAGCTGTTAAGCTTCTTAGCCTGATGACTTAGGATAGAATAGGGCAGCTCTGGCAACACAGATGGAAAGAAAGCAGACAGAAAATAATGGACCAAGAACAATACAGATGACAAAAAATGCCATCAAATATTGCTTCTAGGTCAAGGGTGAAGTGCAGCTGGGCAGTGAGGTGGGGGGAAAGACAAAGGAATCTGATGTTTAGATTGGGGAGGAAGAGTCCAATCATTTACAATTATACTTTCAAAGGGTTTTCACATTCATCATCCCATATGGTCACCAAAACTTCCCTTTGACAAGTTAGATATCAAGCAACCCCTTTTTAAAATAAGGAAACTGAGGATGAGGAAAACCAACATGGTGTTAAAATAGAAGGCATACTAGATTTGGACTTGGGAGACCTGAGGCCTAGACCCAGCTCTTCCCAGTTCTTGTGACCTTAGGCAAATCACTTTTGACTTCTGAGTCTATTTTTCATCTGTAAGATGGAGATAATAATAGTTGTACTGTTATTATAACTCACACAGCTGTTGTGAGGGCCAGAGAACATGTTGTATAGGAGGCTGTAGTCTAGACAAATGTTATTTTAGCATGCTGTGGCTAGAGACTGGAAGAATTCACTGAGCTCTGGCCTTTATTTTTCTTTTTTACTTGGGAAATCTCAGGGCTAACTGCTTATTGTCAAAGCAGTTTGAAATGGATTGGGAAATGAATTCATAGTTAGTTTAATTTTTTATTTGCCAAAGTCTAGGAATCTGAGAAAGTTGTATCTCTTGTAGGAGGAAAGGATGGGCCCTCTCTTCTCTCTGCCCGGAGTAAAGGCAGCCTGTGTGCAGGGCTGTAACCAAGAACTAGTGCTGAATAAAGGGGAGCAACAAGCAGAGAGAATCCCAGAACAGTTGAAGTGGAAGATAATCTGGCCCAAGACTTAGCCAAGATCACACTATGAGTCAGTGGCACATGGGGATTTGTTCATTGCACATTATTCCATAGCTGTTTTGTTCTGAGACTTCTTTATCTAGGAAACTGGACCACAAGTTCTAAGCCCCTTAGAGCATAGATGCCTCCTGCTTTTGAGTGAGTGAGTGAGTGAGTGTGTGTGGGTGTGGTGGAAGAGAGAGAGGTCCTAAGCGGGAGAAGGCCGGTCGGGTGCTAGCTGATGACATCACTCCTCTGTATTCACATCTGCTTCACCTCACCGGTCGAGGAAAATCAGCTCAAAGAGACATGTACGGTCTAAACAAAGCAAAAGAAATACATTCTGCAATGCAGGTGCTCTGGAAGACTCTGTAGTGAAAATCCAATGGGTTTCTTCTTGTTACACTCTCAAACGGCCAGTCAATCCATCCATCAATCAATCACATAAGCCTGGATTGAGTGCCTAAGGGGTAGCTGGAGCAGAGTGTTGAGAGCTCTCGAAGGAACTCACTATCTGATGAAGGAAGGCAGACTGATTAATATGGGACCAGAGAGGGTTTGACTAAACAATCCGGTGGTAGAATTTTGATGCTATTCAACTACCACAATGGTAGAAATCATGGAGGGGAAGTTGAATGGAATGGTGGGTTTCGTTCAGGAAAGCCTTGCAAAGGTGGACCTCAAGGTACAATTTAAATAAAGGGAAGCCTTCAGCATTTTGTTGTGAAGAATAGTGGACATGGAAAAAGTCCTAAGTCCAGAGTTGAGACCTGGGTGTGAGTCCCAGCAAGATCTTATGAACATGAGCTCACACTTGTGAGCCATAGTTCACAACAGGTGAATCACTGATGATAGGCAAATCACTCTAAGCCTTAGTTTCTTCATCTTGAAAAGGGTGATAATGATATTTGTCTCACCTACCTCACAGAGGGTTGTTATAAGGAAAGTACTTTATAAACCTTAAAATTCCACATAAATGGGAACTGTCATTATTTAAAAGACAGAGAGAAAATAGCTACTTCAAGCCTGGTTTGCCCTGGGTGATTCTCTGCCATTACTGAAAAATAATAGGGACTGGATCAAATCCACCACGTTCAATGCCATCATTTTATAGATGAGGAGAGAGAGGCCCGGCCAGGATAAATTATGTACTCAAGGTCACAAAGGTATAATAAGTGACAGAGTCTACAGTTGAACCAAAGTCTTCTGACTCCAATTCAAGAGCTCTTTCTGAACCACACTTACAGACAACTCTCAGGATAGTGACTAAGACAGTAGTGGGCATGGAGTGAACCAACTGAGAGAGCTAGTTCCTGAAGACGAATGGGGAAAAGAATGGATCAGGGAGGATTCTTAAGTAGAGAATGAGGACTGGCTGTTTTCCAAGCTCCATGAGGATAGAACAAGAAGGAAGCCTAAACTTCAGAGGGATTAACATTAGTGAAAGAAGGCAAGGTCAATGAGAAACACTGGAAGTGGTGTATGAGAGTGGATGTTGGAATCGCTGTCTCTGGTACAGGCAAGCAAGATCACACAGGTTGTGAGTGACAGAGCTGGGATTTGAACCCAGATCCTCCCACTACACCAAATCAGGCACTGCAAATGCCTCCTCAGTGTTGTAGATTTAGAAGTGGAGAGGACGTTAGTTATCAAACCCAATCCCTTTATTTTTCTTTTTTTTTTGAAGCAGTTTTTTTTCTTTTTTCTTTTGGGTCGGCAATGGGGTTAAGTGACTTGCCCAAGGTCACACAGCTAGTAAGTGTTAAGTGTCTGAAGCTGGATTTGAACTCAGGTCCTCCTGACTCCAGGGCCAGTGCTCTATCCGCTGCACCACTAGCTGTCTTCCCCCCTTTATTTTTCAAATGAAGAAGTGACTTATCCATGGTCACAGAGGACAGTGAAATCAGAGGACCTTGGGAACCTCTGATGTCCAGGGAGGGGCTCAGATGAAGAACCTTTGCCAGTTTCAACTTTGTCTAGAGCTGGTCCTGCTATCTCTAAGAGATAAGTAGCTTGAGGCCATATGCTGCATGTTTAACATAAAGCAAGATGGCACAATGGAAAGGAACTGGAGTGAGATTCAGATCACCTGGACTCTAGGCTCTGGGCAATTAGGTACATCATTTAATTTGTCTTGGTGTTAGTTTCCTCATCTACAAAATGAGACTACTTGACTATGTGATCCAGAAGGTCCTTCCAGGTCTAAAATTTTTTGACTCTATTATTCCATGCTTGGTTATTTAATGGGGGAACTCATCTTACCAATCCTGTACCCACTATGTACCACCTATCAAGCTACTAAGCTGAAAAGACAAGGCAGTCAGCACCTCCAATCCAACCACTTCCTACTTCTGTCCTTCTGGCTTTCTGCCTCCAGATCCAGCTGAAAGGTGTCTTAGGGTCCCATGCGCCTTCAGTCCTACTCTAGGCACTGGAGGGAATGACAAAAAGGAAACAGTTCTTGCCTTCAAGGAATTTGCATTCTACTAGGAGGGGGAGGAGTGCGATAAATACATAAATAAGAAGATTTCATCAAGGAAATTTGAGCTGGGAGAGAAGACATATCCTCTAAAAAAAAAAAGAAGGAAATTTCAAGTAGCAGAACGCAACTCACCAACAGTAGCTGCTGTGCCCGGGGAAAATCGGTCGTCACAAAACCTCTTCAGAAACGATGTCTTCCCCACGCTAGAATTGCCCACAAATACAATCTTGAAAAGTCGATCTGGGGAGTTGGAAGAGCTCTTCTCCTAGGAAGAGGTAGATAGGTCTGTCCACAGCTTCGAAAGCCCTCTGGTCCACCCGTCATCTCGTCAAGCCTCCCCATATTCCCTGTGCAGATCAGCGTAGGGGAATGAAGGCTGAATTTGGAGTCAGGAGACCGAACTGTGAATCCTGACTCTGCTACTTATTACCTGGGTCATATAGCTAGTAAGTGTCTGAGGCCAGATTTGACAAGTTCTGACCGTACAGCTTCCCCCGGCCCTCAGCTTTGTTATCTCTAAGTGAAGGGGATTTGACTAAATGACCAACAGTCCCTTCTAGTTCCACATCCCGGGATTACTGGTTTGAGTAGTCACAGCATCACAGTACATAAAATGGAGCCTGGAGAGAAGAGGAGCTCATGTGGCAAGCTCTGACCTCTGACAGAGTTATCTTTGGCCTTAGAACATTAAAACACTCTCTAGTGTGGGAGAGAGGGAGAGAGGGAAACTCTTCAATCCTGCAACAGTCATCACAGCTAATTTTTCTATTGTAGATGCTGGATGATAGGGAAGGAAAGCTGCCTTTAACTATATTACTTAGAGACTAAGAAAGCACACGTGGAGATCAAGGGAGCCCTATTCCTATCTCATCAATAAAGCACTTATATATAGCACTTATTAGAGAGCAGTTAATATATAATAATGGTACAGTGTCAGGTTCAAATCTGGCCTCAGACATTTACTAATTGTATGACCCTGGGCAAGTCACTTAATCTCTCTATGCTGCAGCTTGCTTATCTGTAAAATGGGGATAATAATAGCACCAGGGTTGTTGTAAGGATCAAATGAGATAATTATAAAGCACTTAGCCCAGTGCCTGGCACATAGTAAGCACCATATAAAGGTTAGTTATTATTATCACTACTCCTTATATAAGTTGGTTTTATCAGTCTAAGTTTCCTCACCTATGAAATTGGGTGTATAACTCTTTACTACCTACTTCACAGCGTTGTCATGAAGAAAATGTTCTGTAAATCTTAAAGCATTATAGATGTGGACAATTATTATGATTGCTAAAGATCTTCTCCCTTCCATTATACCCAGTTTTACTTTAGAGCAGAGCTTTTTAAACTGGAGTCCATGAACTTATTTCTGAAAAAAAAATTTTTGATAATTGTATTTCAATACTAATGTCATTTTTTGTAATATTATATATTTTACTTTAGGTATTTAAAAACATTCTTCTGACAAGGGATCTACAGTCTTCACCAGATTGCCAAAGGGGCCCATAACCAAAAAAAAAAAAAAAGGCTTAGGGACTTCCCCATCTTCCTTGTAAACTGCCAGGATAGGAAAGGTTAGGTAAATCACTCTAATCCCAAATTAATCCCACTGGGTTCAGTAAGGACAAGGGGGTGGAACAGAGCTTTTATCCTCTGTCTTTCATGTGGGGAAACTGAGGCCCAGAACAGTAAAACAAAGTGACTAAAGTATCACACAGGGAATTATTGGCAGAACTAGATCAGGAGAAAAACAGTATGTTAGTTCAGGGCTCTTTCTAGCAGTCTACACATACTCTCCAGGAAGTTGCTTACTCACCCAGAAATTCTGCCTCTGAGTTCAAACATAATACTTCCTGAATAAATGAGAAGCCTCTTTTGGATCTACTTAAAAATGGATTTGGTGGAATTAACTCCTCTCATTAAAAAAAAAAATCTGTAATGTGACAGTAATGAGTTGTAGAAAAAAATCATTATAGCATTTTGGGGAGAAACCAATACTTAGGAAAGAATTCAAGGTCAATTACAGGAATTTAAATGAAAGACAAAACATTTCCTTGACAGGGCCCCTGCCCCTCAGTCCTCCCACCTTTTCTTTTTTCTTAATTCACCTAAATTCACAAGGACTAACTTTCATGCCACAAACATCATTCCATTCCTCATTGTTATCACCTTTCAGACAAAAAGCTCGATAATTCACTTTATCATTCTTCCAGGCTATTTGCTACCAAGTCAAATTCTCCTCTGTCCTCAAGGGTTTGGGATTATAGGGTTAGAGCACAAGGGAACTTGGAGATCATTTAGCCCAACTCTTTCATTTTACAGATAAGAGGAATGAGGTTGAGACAAGGAAAATGACTAATTTCATGTCTCTCAGACAGCTCCTGCCCCAAGTATATGTAATACATGCCTTACTCTGTGACTATATAACATGTTGTGACATGAGGAGTGATAACTTTATATGGAAATCCAGGGGAAAATGACCCAGATCTTACGCAAATAAGCACACAGAGAAATTTCAGGAGAGAAATTTCAGGATAGCAATAGCTCTGTTGTAAATGGTAACAACATTCAAAATGCACACTGGACCTCAGAAGACCTGGGTTCAAATCCTAGCTCTGCCTACCTATATGGTCTTAGGCTTGTCAGGGATCCTCTTTGAAGCCCTATTTGTGTCTCTATAAAATGAAGGAGGCTGGACTACAGTCCTGTTTAGCTCTAAATCTTCTGATCTCTGGAAAAATGTTCAAAGCACTTTAGAATGGAGAGTGGAGGTGTCAGGGGCCTAAAGTTCTAAATAGGGGCATAAGTTCCCATCAAGTGACCAAAAAAAGATTCCTCAGAACTTTAGGAAGATTTCTCAAAGCATCTTAGTACTAGGAGGGTCCTAAGAGATCACCTAGTTCAACCACATTTTAGAGATGAGTAAACTGGGACTCAAAATAACTTATTCAGGGTCACACAGGTAGCGAGATTGTGAGAGGCAGAGCCAAAATAGCACTAACTCAAGGCTTATTCTGATGAAAGCACTTTGTGAGTTTAAAGCATAAGTATATTTGGAACTATGATTTTATTGGTATACACAACTAGTAGGTAAGAAAATCTCTCTACCAAACCAAATCAACAGTTGTTCTACAACTTAAAACCTCTTAAGAAAGAGTTGCTTGGGCCATTTAGAGGTTAAACAACTTACCTAGGGTCATACAATCAGTATGTTTCAGAGGTAGATTTAAGCCTAGGTCTTCCTGACTCTATGACCAGCTCCCTAGCCACTATATTACACTGCCTTTCTGGGACTGTTATGAATAATCACTCGAATGTGATGTAAGGAAGCTCTATGGGGAACCCAGAGGGTCCATGTTTTATGAGGCACACACAGATGATGAATGCGTGGATGCACTCAGTGGAGTTCCTGTGTTGCCCTTTGCATCCTCTGCGATGGGATGGCTGCCATGGGACAAAAGTAGAAGATGGTGATGTACTAAAACAAGCCAATATGAAATAACCCCTTACAAGGATCCCTGTTTCTTTTCCTACTGGCTGCCCTCGAGGAGATATGGGTTCCAAGGGTGGTGTTTGTTGATTCTCCTCTTTATGCCGCCCAGCGCTCTCCTCCTCTTCCAGACATCTACTCAGCTGTCCCTCAGATTGCCTATCCAGAAGCTGAGGCAGGGGATCTTCCTCAATGGAGATAATCCTTCTGAGAGCCCGAAGACCCGGCCCACTGGCCCCAGGATCCCCATCTGTGATCCCATTCAGGCTAACGGAGCTTCTCCTTCTTGGTATACTGAAGACATCTTCCTCCTCAATTGAATAGCTATAGGGATGGGGTAGGGGAGGAGGGAGAGAAAAGGAAAGGAAGGAAAGCACACACATACAAATACATTAGTGCAAAGAAATTTGGGATGGCCTGGCAAACGTGAGATTGGTGGGCTTAGTTATCTCCCTTCACATACTGGTGGAAAGAGAAGATGAGAATAACATTCACTGAATTATAGATTTACAGAATATCAGAGTTGGAAGACACCACAGAGGGCACCTAACTGAATCCTTAATCAAAGTATGTCCCTTCTGCAATAGCCCTGACAGTGGGAAATTCACTACCACATAAAAAGCTATCTATTCCATATTTAGATAGTTCTAATTATTAGGAAGATTTTTTTTCTCTCTCTCTCTTATGTTTAGTCAAAATCTGACTCTGTAACTTCAAATTACTGATCCTAATTGTGCTTCCTGTGGCCAAGAAGAACAGGTCTAATCCATCTTCTAAATAATTCCAGCAATTCTGGCTGTATATTGGGTTAGTATCCTGGTGCCACTATTTATTAGCTGAGTGACCTTGGGCAAATAAGCCTCTCTGGGCCTCAGTTCCCTCATATGGTAAATAAATCATTAGGGCTACCTAGTAAATGATCTTCTAGTTCTAAGCACTTCCATCACAAATAGCTCCAGTAGAGTAGCAGGTTACAAAACAATTCTACAAAAATCAACAGCATTTCTATATAGCAATAACAAAATCCAGTAGGGAATAATAAAAAGGGAAGTCTGATTAAAAATAATTACAAAATGCATAAAGTATCTGGGAGTCAATTTAAACACAATCAATACCTGTAGAGATATAATTACAAAATGCCCCTTGAAGAATTAAACAAACAACTTAACTAACTAAAGGGATATTCAGTACTCATACATAGGCCATCCTATTATAATAAAAATGACAATACACCAAAATTAGTTATGGATTTAGTGTTATATCAATTAAACCACCAAGGGAATATTTTACAGATACAGACAAAATAATAACAACATTCATTTGGAGGAATGAAAGATCCATAAAACCAATGGAAATATTTTTTTAAAGTAGGAATGAAATGAGGAAATAAGCACTTCCAGACTTCAAACTACATTATAGAATTGTAATTATTAAAAATATTTCATACTGATTAAAAAATAGAAAAGCAGTTCAATGGAATTGACTAGATGAGGAAGAATCAGAAAAAACTGAACTCAATAGTTCAGTGTTAGATAAACCTAAAAAATAAATTACTTAGAGGAAAAAAAAACCCTTCTTATTTGGCAAGAATTGCTAGAAAAGATGGCATGCAACTTGGCATAAATTAGTTTTAGAGCAACATCTTATACCATATACTACAACAAACTCAAAATGGATGTGACCTGAATCTTAAAAATGTCATATCATATAAAGCCTCCTATTGCCTCCAGAGAAAGAACTGATATTGATTGAAAACAGACTGGGCTGAGAATCTCATGCCCAAGAGGCTGAGCCTTTCTCATGCCCACTTGTCCTCATGGGTGTTACCTGGCCTATGTGATTTATCACTAATAAACTTAAAAAAAAAAAAAGAAAAAAGAAAACAGACTGAAGCATGCTATTTTTCACTTTCATTTTTTCCTTTTATTCGAGTCTTCTTGTACAAAATGACTAAGATGGAAATGTTTTATATAATTGCACATGTATAACCTAGATCTGATTGCTTACTGTTTCAGGGATGGAGGAAGGGAAGGAGGGAGGGAAGGATGGAATTTGGAACTCAAGGCTTTAAATAAAAATGTTTTTAAAAATTGGAAAAAAAAGAACTAAATAAAAAAAATGATGTCATATCATAAAACAATGTGAAGGCAGCTAGATCAAGTACTTTCCATATTTATGGGTAGAGGATGAATTTTTAACAAACAAGGGATAAAGGCAATTACAAAAGATAAAGTAGGTAATTTTGATTATATGAAATTGAAAAACTTTTGTAAGAACAAAATTAATGTAATGAGGATAAGAACAGAAGCTGTCAAGTGGGAAATGATCTCTAATAAAGGTCTGATCTTTACGATATGTGGGCAATTATAAGAAATATGTAAGACAAAAACTCATGCCCAGTTGATAAATGTTCAATGGATGGAATTGCAAAGTATTAACAACCATATGAAAGAATGCTCCAGATACCTGAAAATAAGTGAAATGCAGATCAAAACAACCTTGACATTTCATCTTATGCTTTGCAAATTGGCGAAGATGGGACTAGTCAATGCTGGAGATGCTGTGGAAAGGTGTGAGCACTGATGCACCATTGGTGGAGCTGTGAACTGACCTAATCATCCTGGAAAGTAATTTAAAATAACATGAAAAGAAGGAAGGAAGGAAGGAAGGAAGGAAGGAAGGAAGGAAGGAAGGAAGGAAGGAAGGAAGGAAGGAAGGAAGGAAGCACTTATTAAGTACCTACTATATGCCAAGCATTGTACCAAGTACTTTACAAATCATATTTAATTTAATCCTCACAACAGCCCTGGGAGGTAAGTGCTATTATTATCCTTACTTAACAGATGAGGATATGAAGGCTGAGACAGGTTAAGTGACTTGTCCAAGGTCACACATCTCATAAATGTGAGACAAAGGAATACTAAATGGATTAGGGGTACCCATTAATGTCATTTTAAAATGGCTTTTTATCAAAAGATAAAGATAACTGAATTTATGTAGTGTGTTAAAGTTTATAAAATGCTTTCTGATTTGGGCCTCATGACAATCCTGTCAAATACATGCTGTAGGAATTATTATCCCCATTTGACAAATGAGGAAACTGAGGCATAGAAAAAAACATGAACTTGGGTATTCCTGACTCCAAAGTACAGAGCTCCACCCACTTAACTGCTCCTAATACTAGTACAGTCCTTACTAATACTAGCACAGGCTTTCAGAGCTTCCTTAGGGAACAGGCTGGGGCACTATGGTTCAGTAACAGGAATATGAGGTAGAAGAGAAAAATAAAGGTTTCTGAATAATTGGTACTCTGAATAATCAGAAGCTTTGCTCTGTGTTAACACAATATTTGTAAAGCACTTAGCATAGTGCCCAGCATATAGCAGGTGCTATATAAAAGCTAGCCATTATTAATCCATCAATCAATAAACATTTATTAAGCACCTACTATGCACTGGGGATGCAAAAAGAGGGAAAAGACAGCTCTGTCCTCAAGGAGCTAACAAGCTAATGGGGGGACACAATATGTAAACAAATATATACAAAGCAAGCTATATACAGGAGAAACAGGAAATAATTACCAGAGGGAGGGTAATAACAGGAGTTAGGAAAGGTTGCCTAGAGAAGCTGGGCTTTTGTTAGAACTTAAAGGAAACAAAGGAGGTCAAAGGTAGAGTAGAGAATGGTATGGAAGACAGCCAGAGAAAATGCCTGGAGCAGCAAAATGGAGGGTCTGGTTCATGGAACAGCCAGGAGGCCAGTGTTACTGGATCAAAATGTTGAGCTGTGTAAGAAGACAGGAAAGGTAGAAAGGGGCAAGGTCATAAAGGGCATTGAAGGCCAGATAGAGAATTTTGTATTTGATCCTATAAGTAATAGGAAGCCACTGGAGTTTAATGAATAGGAGGTAATATTGATGAGGATGGGATCTGGGCCCCAAAAGAGAAAATTCCTGGACTTGCCCACATGGCCAAATCTCTGGTGTTCACCTGAGGCTATAATCCTATCAACTGTCCTTTCATTATCAATTGTGCCCAATCTCCCAATTCTGTTACCTAGCCCTACATTGTCTATTACCTCCAGATGACCCCCCCCACTGCCCCCCCCACTTCTACCCTTAATCCTTAATCTTATCTAGATGCCATTCTCCCTTGGCCATGGTCCAGGTCCAGGTCTTCTTGTTCACCCCAGCTTACTGGCCACTCCCATCCAGATCTTCCTGAGACCCCTCCAGTTACCCCAAACTACTTGGCCACTCCTAGATCCCTCCCACAGTCTTTCTATATATAAGGTCCATTTTGTCTCCATTAAAGTGGTCAGATTCTTAAATTCTAGCTGCTGCTCAGATTTTTACAATCTAGCCAATAGCTGACAGGTGCTCGGATTCTTTAAGAGTCTGGCTAATATGGAGGATCTTTAATAAACATTGTCTCTGGCTGAAAGAAGGCTTGGGTCGAATGCATTTGGGCAGGACCTATGTGTTGTGATTTTGGGGTTCTAGCACCCCTAAACCCCTTGACCTCATTAATATGATCAGACATATGCTTTCAGAAAATCACTTGAGCTGCTGAATGGAAGATGGTTGAAGTATGCACACCTACCATCGGGCTGTGACAATAATCAAGTTGTGGGGACATAAGCCTACAAGAGAGTGCTGGCAGTGTCAGAGAAGAGAAGGGGACCTATTTGAGAGATGTTGCAAAGGCCTTTGAAACAGCTTGGATATGGGGGATGAGAGAGTCAGTAATCCAAGCCTGAGGGACTGGGGGGATGGAGCTGCCCCCTATAACTGGGAAGGTAGAATGAGGAGACAGTTTTGGGGAAACATAATGAGTTATTGTATTATTTCACGCCTGTGAGCTGGAAGTGAAGAAACCTCCTCCACCAGGTCATCCCAACAACTACTCTGAAACTTTTAGTCTTAAGAGAATTGCTTGGGGTCCCCAGAGATTAAGTGATTTGCAAATAAGGGTCATGCATTCATTATGTGTCCAAGGCAGGACTTAAGCCTACAATTTTCTGTCTCAGGGTTCTGCTCTTTTTGCACTATGGTCACTCAAGTTATTGGTAGAGAAATAGAAGGTACTTTGGGGATGTGGTAGTGGAAAGACCATCAGATGTGTTGTCAAGGGGTATAAGTTTTGAGTCCTGAATTACCTGTATCATATTAGACAAGTCACTTTGTTTCCCTAGGACACAATTTGCTCATCTGAAGAATTAAAGATAGGGCTGTATTTAATCAGTGATTCATGTTCATCAGTGAATTATAATGTAGTCTGTGAACTAAAAAAATAGTTTGACAACTATTTCAATATTATTGGTTC